CAAGCACATCTTGCATGTTTACAGTTTAAGTTAAAGCTGTGATTTTTGCAGCAGAGTCGTTGGCATTTCCCTGCTTTGCTCTCCTCATGTAGTTTGTGCAGTCAGGGTTGGACACTCTGTGGGTACATTCAGTGCTGTGTGTGTTACTGGGCTGTGGTCACATTGCTGCAGAGTGCTGCCTTGTCCCCTCATTTCTGTCGTGTTCTTGTGCCTCAGAACTCTACAGCCATAGCTACTTCACACTGAAGGGCACTTGATATGGGTGAAAGTGGGGAAGGGTGATTTAGATCTGGTCACACATTTGTTTTTTGGCCCGCAGAAATACAGCCTCACATCTGCAGTGAACTTCAACCAACCAGTTTTGTTCCTTAGCAGGGCTCTGTCAGCTCTCAACAGCCACAGGAGTCTGCACAACCAGAGCTCCTCACAGCACTGGCACTTGGGCTGTAAGAACTTTAGTGTGAGTGGGTCTTTGTGTGCCTGTGAAGTCTGTTAGGTAAGGATTAGGAGGCCTATAAACTGCTGCTGCTGCTATTGTTTTATCATTGCTATTGAGCATTGCTGTACAGAGCTGCATTCTTAGATTAGAGCCTTGATTGTAGAAAATAAAACTAAAATACTGCCATGCAGTTTTCCCCAGTTTCACTGTAACTCTTTTCAGCTCTAACCTGTGAGCTTCAGTCTAGAATATGTGGCAATTTTCTTTCCTTCTGCAAGTTTTTCATCAAATCTCTGAAATGTTATTCTTCCCAAGGTTTACTGTGTCCCATAAACAGCCCTGATATCAATTGACTCACAGCCTTCCAATACCATTCACTTGCTTTCTGTTTCTGGCTGGAAGTCTGATGATTGCACCATCTCTAAAGTAGTCAGTAACAAAAGCTGGCAGAAAAGGCATTTTAGTGAGTCTGAAGTTCACCAAAGCATATTTCAGCTATTTGTACTATAGGTAACAGTTTATTACTTTAGTATTGGCAAAAGGAGCTCGTAGCTTTTCCAGCTGTTCCTCTTTTATCAACATTACTGCACACCAGATGAATTACTATTGCATGATTTAAAGTCAGTGAGATTAACTTAGTTTGAAATGTTCCCTAAACTACTGGCCAAAGAACCCAAACAAGAATGCTACTATTGGAATGGCACTTCACTCTGCTCAGCTGCTCTTGGTAGAAATCTGTATGATACAGTTTTTTTTAAATCTGTGGTAAAAAATGTGTCTACATGATGCAAAATTGCACATTGTTGTAGAGCCCTGTGGTATCTATTTAAAGTGACAGCTGTCTGTCTGTCTTGCTGAGAGGTCTTAATCTCAGTCACGCTATTTGCTGTGCTGAAGAGGCCCTAAGCAGGGCAGCTTTCAAACCTCTGGTCTTGTCATCACTGTGTGAAATTTAGCCATTTTCCAAACTTGCTGGTACATGATATCCCCATGACTGTGTATACAGTTCCATTATTGTAAGGTATTTCTTCAATTCTTTAAGGAGAATTTTCCCCTTAATGCGTTGACAGATGTGGGCCAAGTCTTTGCTTTCTGGGCTAATAACCATTAAAAACGTGTTCGTTGACTTCATTAAATCTTACTATTTATTTTTAATATGTTCCAATATCAAGTTCCAATTGGCCAGTATGTCTTACAATTCCCAATAGCAAAGTTCTTGGAGAAGAAGCGTAACAGCAGTTGGCAGCAATCTCACAGGGTCACTTAACCCACCAGTCCTGTGAGGTTCTGCTTTTATTTTCAACCTTCATGCTTATAGGCAAAACATCTTATTTCTTTACACATAGAAATTTTCTGTTGAATTTTTAATTGCTAGTTCTGCCTCTCTCCTTTGCTTCTTAAAGCTTTTCTCATCTGATATGCATATCCACATATCTTTGTGTAATGTATCTGCAATGGATAATATCAAGGGAAAAAATTAAGCTTTCAGAACCTGTTACTTGAATTAATTTTGATTTTAAGAAAATAGGCTATCATATAATAATAGGAATTTCAGTATTCCAGTTCACTAGCTGTGAAAGAAGTTATTAAAGAAGGGAGTGCTTGTAGTTTTTAATCATAATAATTTTAGGTCATCTTTTATGTGGTATAGAATTAACTTCCTTATATTTTTGTCAGATTATAATAAAACTTTCTTCAAGGTTTTTCACTCTTTCCAACAGAAGACTCCCCTTAGATTTAACTGTTTGGGATTGTATCATAGGAAGTGAAAGTGGGTAAAATAGTTTAGGTCATTTGGGGAACTTTTTTGTTCAGCACACATCTGTCACATATTCATTATGAGTATGCTTGGAATTCCCAGAAGAAGGCAATTGGGATATAGATTTATAAAGTAGTAGCTTTCAATTTGCTTTTTATGAACACTTGAGTCTCAAGTACAGGTCAATATAAAAAAATTTCTACAACTGCACAACTTTGCTCAGTGAATTGAACTAATGACTGCAGTGTCAAACAGAACATAACAGAGGATAATTTGCCATTTTATTCATTGCCATTATCTCTCAGGTAACAAATGACACAAAAAAAGGAAGCATCCTCAAGTTGTACCAGCAGAGGTTTAGGTTAGATACTGAGAAAAATTTCTTCACTGAAAGAGTGTTCAGACATTGAGACAGGCTGCCCAGGGAAAAGGGGTGGAATCATCATCCCTGGAAGTGTTCAGAAGATGTGTGGATGTCGTACTTGGGGACATGGTTTAGTGGTGAACATGGTGCTGCTGGAGTAATGGTTGTACTCTGATACTGGAGGTGTTTTCCACCCTAATGACTCTTATGAATGCTGCCATGAAATCTTCCATTCATCATATACAAGGCTAAGCATGTTCCAGATATGTATTTGCAGAGAGAAAGCCAAAGAAGAAAGGGAGCCCTTTGAAATATTGTCCTAATATGTGCCCCAAAGATTGTATCATCTCTCTGTTAGGTGAACTCTTCCTTTAGTCTTATAATTCCAGTTTTTATCACCCATTCAGTAGCTCTTTAAAATAGAATTTCATTGCTTTCTTCCATGTCTCCCTTCCTTCTTGAGAGGGATCTCTATAAACATCCACGGACCTCCCTTATTTTCATCTCTGATTTTTTCTTAAAATTCTCATTTGCTCTAATGGCTTGTAAAAAATGTAATTGATGAGCTTCTAGTGTGCTGTGACTGGCAGGCATCCTGTCAGGAAAATATTCTTCAGTAATTAGTGTCTGGTTCACTGTTTGAACATATTTGTAGCTTCCTGCCTTATGCTTGCTTTGTATGGTCCTAGGAGGAAGCACCTTCTTGGAATTCTATGGATGGACAGCAGCTGTGAAAAAAAGAGTGTAAACTAGAGACCTAAATCTTGCCATACACACTCTTCTGTAATTAAAGTAATGAGTAATAATTTATAAGCTCAAGTTCTTTCCAAGATGCATGCTATTGCTTAAAAATATAGGTTGTTGTACCGATATTTTTAGTTTCAGTTGTGATTCTATGTGGGATATAGGGAGCAGAGAACATGAATTTAGCTGAAAGATCTTTCTAGAAAAAGATTTTTTGTTTCCAGAGATATGAAAAAAAAAATTAACATAGATGGAAATCAGATTTTTGGAAAATCTGAATTTGCTTCTATTAAAAAGTAGTGTAGTCTCACTGAAATTGGCATTTAACAAAGCACTTATTAGTGTTGTTGAGGCAGCTGGTTCTTGGTTAGGATAGCACGCCTTTCTCTGTGTCTAAGTCCGAAAATACCATGTATCTCTAAGGCTGAATAAATTCAGTATTCAGATATGTTTCCATGGAAACAACTCATAATTTAAAAGCACATGCAGCAATGCAGCCTTTATGTAATTTATTAATGTGAAAGACCTGGCTCTCATGAGCCATATTAAATAGATCAGCCTTTATTGGCAGGAAAAAGGAATTTTCTTTGATTATAAATGCAGCTTTTCAAGTGCTATTAGATAGTGAGATATTCGTGAGTGGGGTTGATACTGCTGCTATTGTGCCAAGTTGTGTTGCCCATTTGGGTGAAACCGTTCAATCACTTTCTTCCTGAAGAATATGAATACTCAGGACATTCCCCCTGTCTTAAGAACTTCCCTCTTTTTTTGCTGCTAGAGTGCTGCAATTTAGAAAGGATTATCCTCCTCTTCTTTTTTTAAGATGCCACTTTTCAGGGAACAGAATTCCTAATTTGATTTTAAACAAAGGAAAATTTTCCTTTTGGTTTCTTCTCTGGGCGCTATTTCAGCTGTGTCCTTATTTGTGTTGCAGTAGAATGAATGACCCACACAGATCTATATTTTAGATTCATAAAAATATATAGTGTCTCTATTCCAAAGCAGTCTCCAGACTGGTCTAAACAGCACTTCAGTTATGAATATAGCTCTGCAGCATTGTTTGAGGCAGGGAATTATTTGGAAGAAGAATGGCCCAGTCCCATTCTAGGCAGCAGAAGGAAGTTGTTCATCTTCCCAAGCTTTTTGGCAGCTGAGATACCAACCTAGGCAACGTAAGTCATGCAGCCTGAGAATTCAGTTCAGCTTTCTGAGATGCCAGTGAAAATACCTGTCAAACTGCCTGTGTACAAGGTCTCTTGTAAGTAACTTTAATAAGTAAGTTTAATAAGTAACTTCAATAAGTAACTGTACTTCTCCCTTCCCTCAACCAGAATACCATTGTTCATCCTTCCATTACTTTTTTTTTACTTCTTTCTTTACAAAGCTGCTGAAATGGTCTCCTAGAATCAATGAAGTGGGTTTTTTTTGTTTTGTAAACATTGTCTTTTTAAAACAAAAAATCAAAAATCAGAAGTTATAACAAATAATTTCTCTTCTTGAAGTTATTGTACTGCTCTTAGTATGAAAGTCTTTATTGGCCCAGGCATACTTCCCTAAAATTGCCTACCTGGCCTGATGGGCACTGTTTTCAGTTCACTGATGTGCCTGAGATAATTTTGCAATCCCCTTTTTCTTATGACACCTCAGACTATGTAGACATAGATTTTATACTATTTGTGTATTTGTTCAAACAGATTTGCCGTGTTCCACAATGTCAGAATACCAAAAGAAAACATACTGAATATAGCTGGAGATGTCACAGCTGAGGGGAAGTACTCAAGTTCTATCAAGGTATGAAACAAAGTCTTCATTAAATATACAAAGGTATATGTAGGTTGAGAGACAGAGCAATGGGCCTCTCATGTCAGGAAGTACTGGATACCTGAACTTGAGAAGGCTGTTGACAATTTCTCATGAAGTATGAATGTTGGTTTTTTAATTGCATTTTAGAGATGTCTCAATTCACCCTGCTGACTTTACTGATTTTTGTGTTCTTTGCATGACCCCACTGATCCCAAAGAGTTTGGAGTTTGACTGTGTTCAGGCAAGACTACTCTGAGTCGTACCTGAATACCTCATCTGAATGAGTCCAGAAACAAAATTGACAAAATTGCTTCTGATCATACTACCAAGTTGCATCTTTATGGGGGTAAAATGAAATGTTAGCCTTTTGTGCTTTCTATTCATTCAGGAGGTTAAAGAACGTTTCAGTGCAGCTCTGGGATCCTTGTCCACTGGCAGAATTATGATCACAGGCATTTCTGTGACCAATTTAAAGCTTGCCTTGGCAATAGCCATACGCTTCTCAGCAGCTCGCCGTCAGTTTGGACCAACTGAGGATGAAGAAATTCCTGTTCTTGAGTATCAAACACAGGTAAATACTTTGGAATTTCATCTACAGACTTCCAGATGATGAAACTCACATACAGAGCTACTGCAGATCACAGTAGTGACTCTGAAGTTAGTGAAATTAAAGTTGTCTGTGTCACCTGAAGCACCATTCTAGTACAGCTATGGGAGTTCATTCCAGCTCAAAACCTTCTCCTGTCATGACCAGGCTTTTAACATAAGTTCTTGGAACAGCAAAACCAAAAAAATACATATTTCTCTGAAGTACCTAGAAACATTTGTCTTCAAAAGTAGTAACCTTTTACGAGGTAGTCTGTCTTACCTGCACATGTGAAAGTACTGCAGATGTAGAAAATAGCATTTGTTTCAAAATATCACTGCTTCTTTTGTTGCTACAGTTAAGTTTCTCATTTGTAGCCTGTATGCATTAAAAGTATAGAACGCAATGGAATTCATTGTGGGGAAGTCTCAAGCTAATACTGATTTAAGAGGATTATAACCAAGATTTGCCTGCAGTTTACGTGGATGAAAAACACTTCTTCCTATGAAAAAAATAGAAAAAGTGTATGTAGAATAACTGGGGAAAAGGGAAACCTCAGATTTGCTGAATGACAAAGGATAATATATAAGAAGTGCTGGAAGCAAACCTGCCCAGTTGGTCCTTGAAGTGTGGATGCTTTTTTCCAGGTTGACACTTATCTTGCAATGTTGAAAGATTTCATGAGTTTCTACAAACTGGTGGAAGGTGCCTTCCACCATTTCTGAATAATTGAGGATCTGCTTTCCACTATTTGATTCTCTCAATTTTTCCCAGTTTTGGTTTGTTCTGTGGGTTCTGCTTGCTGAAACTCCCATTCCCTTCTTCCTTTACCACAAAGACTTTCAAGCACTTTTTATTTTCCTTCCCGAGCCCCATGAAATGATTACAACCTCTGTCATGTTTGTACTGAAGAAACTTATGAATCATGACTGATCCTGGCATGGCAGACATTTTATAAACACGTGGCAAAAATATGTCTTTGGTCCACAAAGCTTCAGTGAACTTTTTCCCTGGTTTAACAGAATGCTTATCACAAATTCATGAAATGGGAGAACTAAAACAATATAACCATAACTTGTATAAAAAGATATGTATAACATAATTAAATGTAATTAAATTACATTATAGGTGGCTATCGTTCTTTTCTCCTTTAAGCATTTTTCCATTTTTAACACAGTAAAAATTAATGGATTGGTTCAATATAATAACGATTTAAAACATATATCAATTTGTTATCAAATCAATTTAATTCTTTTTTTTCCAGCAATGGCGTCTTTTACCTTATCTGGCTGCTGCATATGCTTTAGATTATTTCTCAAAGTCAATATTTGAGAACTTTGTAGAGTTTTTTGCAGGTGTGTTGACAAAGCAAAGGAATCAGAGACAGGTGAGATGTTTATGTATTTCCTTTTCACTGAGTCTTACTATAATAAACTGTTAAATGGAAGACCTATTTAGAAGTCTTAGGCTCTCTTACAATCGAGAATGATAGAGCAATGTCTCAGAAATATGGGGCATATAAAGTACTGATTAAAGTTGCATTTAGAAAAGCATTCAAATTAGTTTTGATGGAGTTATTAAAGTTTTATTGATTTCTGTGGGATTGAAGGTTATGTTCTCTTGCCTGATTTTTTATCATAAATATGTTATGATGGTGTAAGTTTAGCTTATAACTGTTGTAAATGATTCTATGGGGAGCATATATCAAAGATTTTCTGAAAATATACTAATCTTAATTCCTGCATAGACTCTCTGAGTCTGGCTTAAGTTTGCAATTCAAATTCATGCATTAAAATAAATATTTTTAGTGAAAAAAGTTGACTTTTAAGTTTTAACACTGAGTTTTTCATCGACAATCAGCCCACTGGAAGTCATCCCTTTACAGAGGAAATAGTTTAATCTATCAGTCTCTGTGGACTGATTCTTAATCAAATTAACTGCATAATTTTACAGCATATAAATTTTATTTATTTTTATAATTTTTGGCAATAAACATTTTTAGGGCCTGCATATTGGCTGTGTATTGCTCAGGTCTTAATTAAATCCTCAAGCTTTTTTTTTATCTGAAGTAAAGCTCATTAAATATTTTTTACTAATGGCAGGGTATTTTAATTTCTCCTCTTTGCACAAAACACAGAAGAATCTATTTGATTGTTTTACCTGATACTTCATCTCTGGAGGTCTGCAGTGCAGTGACTAATCTTTGGGAAAATGGTGGCTATCAGGGAAAAAGTCACGATAGGAAAGAATCTCGTTGAAAATTTTAAGAATGTAATCTTTATGGATTCCTTTTGTTCTACAGAAGATCATTAAACAAACAACACCATTCAGGGAGGTGCTCTTAAACAAGCTTTGGTTGTATCAAGCCCCTATCTCCAGAAACCAGAATTCCAAATGCATTTTCAAAGGAAGGTCAACAGAGTTACTGTGATTCTCTGGAGTTTCTGAGGGTGTACATAAAAGTTTTCCTGCTCTTTGCAAAACTGATGCTTAAAAGATCAGTGAAAACTGTGTAAGACAATAAATATTATAACTATCCTATTGCTGGCTATACTGCTTATGTCACAGAGGGGACAGACCACCCTCAATCACCTGCTTCTGAATTTTTAGGAGGGAAGGCTTGGCAGGTGGTGAACTAAGTCAATGCTGTGCCAGCTGGTACAGCTGAGCGAAGATGCACCCACGTGCCCATTATCTGACACAAATTATTGCTGTCTCATAAGAAAGCTGATACTGAAGGTTCCTCAGTTGTGGCAGGGTTTTCTGTGGCACCAATGAATATGCTCTGCACTTACATAGAATTTTATGCCTGTATTGCCAGTTACTGTTTGTTATAAAGCAGTACATGTATCTATGGCTTTAGCTGGTCACCAGCTTAATTTCTATAAAAGTTATTCTCCGTTTATAATTTGTTTTTCACAAAGGCTGATTTAGGACGTGAGATTCATGCTTTATCTGCTGCCAGCAAACCACTGGCGTCTTGGACTGCTCAGCAGGCAGCCCAGGAGTGCCGAGAAGCTTGTGGAGGACATGGTTACCTTGCCAGTAAGTTACAGACACTGCGTGCACTGATCAGAAAGGGAATGGTTATTCTGATGTGTTCTTCGACTGCTGTTGTGCTGTTATTTCTGAATTTTAGCCATGTGTTTAGAAAGTATTTTATCCTCATATCCATGTTTTCAAATTTTATTTCATACCTGACGTCACAAAAAACCCTCCCTTAACCCATACAGGATCTGCACCAGCATTTGGACAGAGTGTACAAGTAATTCAGTCTGTTTCAAATATAAAGATTCAGACTTTATAGATGAAAATTTCTCTTGTAAGTTTAATGCCACACCTATCTAAAATCTCTACTGTACAAGGTAATCAGTGAATTTTCAAGCTCATCTGTTTGTAACAATAGTTTTACTTACAGGAATAGACAGCTCTCCTGCAATTTGTCACAGAATAATTATTTAATCTCTCTCATCTTCTACTAATACGTTGCAATGTATTAAATATATATTAATATATTAACATATTAAATATATTAAATATATTAAATATATTAAATATATTAAATATATTAAATATATTAAATATATTAATATATTGAAATATTAAATTATATATATAAAATATATTAAACTTAATATATTAAACTGTGAACTTGTTCTTCTTAAGTGAATCGTCTGGGTGAAATCCGAAATGACAATGATCCAAACTGTACATATGAGGGAGATAACAACGTCCTGCTTCAGCAAACCAGCAACTACTTAATGAGCTGGATGAATTGCATAAGAGGTATATTTTCATTGTGGAATCTTTATGCTGGACCCAACAATGTGTAGCTAATGGAATTAGGAGGTAATTTCATACTGGAAGCAATTGACAGTCATTAAATAATGTTGTGGAGCATAAATAATGTGCTTCAGATTCCATCATATGGTGCATTCACAATACAGAAATATTTGCTGTAAGAAATATTCTGTCTTGCAGTGGTAGCTAGATATTTTGCCATCCCTAATCAGGTTAAGCCATATTTTACTCCCAGAGAAGTGCATTTTAGTTCAACCAAATTACCTCAGCACTGCATCCAGGTCTGGGGTCCTAAGCAAAAAACAGATAGGGACCTGTTAGATAGGTTCCAGAGGAGGCCACTTCTGCTATGAAGACAGTCTGAGAGAGTTGGGTATCTTCAGCCTAGAGAAGAGAAGGTTCATTATGGCCTTCCAGTACTTAGGAAAGAGAGGGAGAGCTACTTTTTACATGGGCAGATAGTCATGGGCCAAAGGGGAATAGTTTTAAACTAAAAGATGAGAGATTTAGATTAGATATTAGGAAGAAATTTTCTCTGCAAGGGTGATGAGACACTGTCACAGGTTAGCCACAGAAGTTGTAGGTGCCCCATCCCTGGAACTGTTCAAGACCAGGCTGGATAGGGCTTGGAGCAACATGGTCTAGTGAAAGGTGTCCTTGTCAAGGATGGGAAGTTAGTACAAGATATGTTTAAGTTCCCTTCCAGCCCAAATTATTCTATGAATCTGTGACTACGTATTGGTAAAGTCATCATAAGTCTGTTTATTGTACTTGGAACAGTTCATATCACCTGACTTGGTAGCAATATCCATCACCACATCTTGTAGTTCTCTAGATTTTGTTTCAGTTTTCCAGCAGTGAGTTTCACTAGCATCTTACAGAGCTGGAAAACTCAGCAGTTGGAGTTGAATCTTATGGGGAATAATTATAGGCAGTGATGTCAGGTTTTTCCACACTTGTCCACCAGTCCTCTTTTGGCTGGACTAGGCCATAATAAAATAAGTATTATGGCCTAATTGCATCTGGCCTGTCAAGTGTATGCATGGCTTTGTAATAGGCTTTTAGTTCCAAAAAGTCTGATTTCTTTTCTCATAAATCATTTTTATTTTCACTGGTATTTCAGATAAAGCTACTTTTGAATCTCCTTTGGGAACAATAAACTTTTTGCAAGACTACCATCATATCCTTGGCTGGAAATTCACAGCCATTAGTGTTGAAGATTGCATGGACTCCTCAGGTAGGCTTCTGCTGTTACTAAACTGATTCCAGAATTTTAAATTCCTTTCCAAAGGAAGGGATCCAGAGATCTGAGATTCAACCTCTGCTACTTATTAGATATTTGTCATATTTGCTGACATTTTTTGTATTACATGCATTTTTATTTACTAAGAATATAGTTTGCATTTCAAAATACATTCTGTTTTCCCCAAATTCATTTCTGGAATGATTTCAGATATTATTTTTAACTCTTTAGTCCTCTGAAATAACATCTCTGAGGTTGGGTTTTTCCTCACTGTATTGCTGTTTTCCAGTTCTAAGGGAATCGATTGCCACTTCCTTCTATCACTGAAGTAGCTTCTTTTAGAAAACCACACAAGGGATTTACAAGTATGTTGAAAAGGCATGAAGTTCGTCTGCTTTTGATAGTTGCTTTTAGTTGTATAGAGAAAAATAAGTAATGAGGGAAAAAGAGTTCCCTGTAGTTTTCCTGCTTTACTCTGCTACAATCAAGTCAAGTATGACATTAGATGCCATTCCATTTGTCTATCACTGTAAGCCCAGACTGGCTGATGGACACAGACCAACACATAATGAGAGAGCAACAGCACATGTTCTCTCCTCTCAGGTAATACCTACTGAATCAGACCATAGTTAAAAGAAATCTGAACCTGTTTCTTGATCCATTCTGTTAGAAACTGGATTGTTAATTTAGGCAGCATGTAAACACTCCCTGTACTCTAAGATATGCTCTATATTAAATCTTCAGCTTAGAAACAAGCAAGCAGGATTCATGCAAGGACTTTATGCTGAATAACTTTTTACCTTAATAGTTCTAAGCTGCTCTTAGAAATATGACACAATTATGTACAAAGCTAGTAATTTAAATGTGATTGCATTCATCCACCAGTGAAAACAATGTTGCAAGTTACATGCTTCCAGTAATTGTGGACTATCTTCTGTTCTTGTATTGTCAGAAGAGGCTTCATACCTTGCAGGCCTAAGTCTTAATATGAAAAAAAATAAAAAGAAAAAAAGCTAGAAAATGTATTCAAGTAAGAAGTCTAAACTGAGCTGTGGGTACACCTTGTCTTCCAGCTTGGGGTCAGTTTGAAGTAGGACATGGCCAGACATGGTTATATCTTCACCGTACAATTACAATCTGACTGTTCACCCCAGATATTTATTGTATCTTCATTGATGGACAAAGTGGCATGTCAATGGATTGATTAATTAATGCTTTCACTCTTCATCTCGAGTAATAAATCTGGGACTGCTGTAGAATTTTCATGTGACTTCTTGCATCATAAATGTGAATATTAAGAATTTTGCTTTTTTCCTTTTCATAGTTCCTTTAGCAGCTTATAAATGGCTGGTTTGCTACCTGCTGCGAGAAAGTGACCTAAAAATGAATAAGGAGAAGCAGACTGGACGAAGTGATTTTGAGTCAAAAAACAACTGTCAGGTAATAATTATTACTCTTTCTTATTTTATTTATTTACTTTCATCCAAGTCTGTCAGTTTCTGTTAGTTTTATCCTCTTGTGTCATGAAGTACTATTTCCTGAACCATAAAGCAGCAAGTCAAATAACTAATAAAACTTAATACCTGACCATGTGCATTGCATAGAACATGATAGCACGAGGACAGTTACCATTAGCAGAAGTCTTCCAGGATATATTCAGGATATATTTCCCTTCAGAAAAGTTGCAGGCATGTGCCGTGTGATGTCTGCAATTTTGATAGCATAACTTCTGAAGACTAAATATGTGAGTATTTTAAATACACTGCAGCATCTGATTATGACTTCTCCATCTGCGCTTGTGGCCAAATACTAGTGTAGGAAAGAATCTTGCTCTGGCAGGTAGGTAAACTAGATGACCTAATAGGTCTTTTTCATCTCTAGTTCCTATAGTACAAAATACTCATGAAGGATCCCAGACTGACAGCATTGGAACCTGAAAAGGAAACATTGACAATTTACATATAGCAGATCCACTCTCTCACCAGAGAGTTTTAACAGCTAGGAGTGGCTTAACTCCAAATTTCAATATTTATCCTCAAGCTTGCCAGATTCCTCTACTACCTCCATGAGAAAAATTGGCTCACATCCAAAGAATGAACACTTGCCATTTGTCACTGAGAAAGGTCTGTTCCCTGAAGATGCTCAGTGTCATTTCTCTTACCTGCAAAGCAGGAAGAATAGTCAACATTGAACTTTGCACCTAGAAAGACCCAGCGTGGCTTTAACAGGGGATGATCTGTGTGAAACCAGTGGTAGAGTTGAGAAAATCTTTCCTGATTTTACCCTAGAAGCAGCTTCTTAGAGAAACTCTTCAGGTCAAATCCAGAATGGGAATTGCCAGAAACTCCAGTGTAATTGCCTGTCAGCCAGGTTTTGGTGAAGCTGGTGCTTGGGCCAGTGCATTAGAGAGAATGGTGAGCTCAGAAGTATGAAGATTGTCTTATTTATTATATTTAAAATTCAATGAGGTTCAGGCACACAACTGCTTTTGAGATAGGCGTTGATATACTTTAGGTCATTAGTTTTTCTTTTGTCCCTACAATTCATCCTCAGTATGAATTGAGCAGGACTTTTTTATTTTAAATATCATGCCTCAAAAACATCTGAAAGTGATTTACGAGCTGTCCTTTGAAGACATGTACATATTTGATTTAAAACTTTCTGGGCATGAAGAAACACTTTTCTGTCAGCCCAGTGGTTGACTAATACAAAATATTTGTCCGTGCTGTGGGGGATCTGGAAGAGATTCCTAGCCTATCCCTAGGTTATTTTGGTGTGGGGGTAGCTTGATAGAAACAATACAGAAGTGCAAGCAATAGTAAAGAGGAAAGTAGAATTATAGGGGAGAACAACAGGAAAATAATTCTTAATGTTTCATTTGTGATGGTAAGACTTATTTCATTCTGACCAGGGAATTAGCATATCTCAAAAATCCATCTAGTAGGCGGGCAGTCCTCCATAATACTGCAGAGAATAGATGATGTGTATTTTGCTGTTCCAATGTGTATCTGAGCTTGGACATAAGTGTGCCGCTGGGCAGCTGCTGTTGAGACAGTGATCTTTGGAGTATGCGTTTTTTACATGCTGCAGTGAATCTAAATGCAAGAATAATGTATTTAAAAGAAAAGAATTAAAACTAATCAATGAATTCTGCATGAAAAAAATTAAGCACCCAAACCTTAACAAAACCAACTAAAAACAAACATGAATTACATCATTGCAACAAGTCAGCCAGGACAGCAATGGCATCATATTCCTCTTCTGTTCACCAGCTAGAATATTGTCAGTCAGCAATCTACTCCATAGGAGCACATATAGCAAAGCTGAAGTATGTAAATGTAGACAAGTGTTCCTATGTAAGTACATACAATCGCTTAAGGTTTTATGCTCTGCAGTAACAGTAACTGGTGACTTGTCCTCATCAGAGAGTTAGCAAGGACTAGTTGCATAGTTCCTTCAAAGCATACTGCAATCTATTGCAATCCATCAACAGAATCCACTCATGCTGGCATGATCAGATTTTTTCTTTATTTTTTGAAGGGACTGTAATAATTTTTCAATAGGAAGATTTTATCCACTTTATAAAACTCTGGATCATATTAAATAAATATAAATCTACCTTTTTCTTCTTAGATTCATGTAGGTTTCTTGAGAATCCTAAAATCAGCAGACCTGATTTTACGTTGGCTTCTCTCTGATGTAGCTTCTGCATCCCATAAAGCCTGAGTGCAACTGCCAAATTACACTGGTAATAGGCGTTCAGTCTTACTTCTAATAGGCATTTCATGAGACATTTCATAACTAACCTTTGCACAGACATTATGGAAAGGGTTTTCTCCTTCAGTTTCTTAGAATTTCTCAAGCTGTATCATCACATCTAAATCAGCAGAACTCCACTAACTTCACCAGAGCAATTCCATCCTGCACGGGCTGAGGACTGGATCTTTGTATTTTGTTACTCAGTGTCCTTGTTCCCTGTCTCCTAAGGTGTACTACTGCCGGTCCCTGGCTATTGCTTTTATTGAGCAAGCAGCGTTGCAGCGCTACCACGACTACACCCACGATCCCAGCGTCCCAGCAGCTCTGCAGCCCGTGCTTAGGAACCTCAGTGCTCTCTATGGGCTCTGGTCCTTGAGTAAACACCTGGCTGTCCTCTACCAAGGTGAGATCAGGTCCCTGAGTGTGCTGTGCATGTCACTTTTATCAAGTCCTGACTTGGCCGGGGCAGGGAATTCTAGCGGCGATTTATGTTACAGCATTTTGTTACTGATTGTTTAATACAAAACAATCATTCTCAACCAAATTTTCTGGAGCAGGAATCTGCAGTGAAAAATTAACCCAAAAGACTCTCTCTTAGCTCAGAGATGATGGAGAGATCCCAGGTTTTGCTGTGATCCAGTGCTTGTGTGAGAGGATGAGGGACAGGCAGCAAGACACTGTACTGTACCTCATTACTGCAAAAGACTCTACATAGCTTAGATTAAGAGTTTTGCAGTCAGCTCATTAATGAAAGACTGTCAGTTCAATTACACAGATGCAGCTACTTAGTCTTGACTACTCAACTCATGAACTTGGCAAAAAGTTTGTATCAGTGTAATCTTCACTGGTATAAGCTTCTCCGTGAATGTTTTTAAAGGTGGCTATGCTTCAGGTGAACAACCTGGGAAACTTATTCAGGATGCTATTCTGGAGCTCTGCTACAGGGTAAGCCTGTTTATTGTGATTAAATATCTACTGTATAAACACTAAAAAAGATACGGGGTTTATAGTTGTCAGATTGCTCTGTACTTCAAGGAGTAAGGTAGCAGAATATTACTTTAATGGTTTCTGAATAATTTTCTGTAAAGTTTAGCAACTCATTGACCCTGAATCTAGTCTTAATTTATTTAGCAATAAATGAAAAACAGTATGTCCTACCAAATAATACCATAACATTTGTGGCCTTGCAATCTTTATTGGAAAGCCAGTGAAATATTTCAATCCAGTTCTTTTTATTTCATTATTGAGTTAGTTTGTGATTTTTTTTTTTTCTTAGCACAAAAGCTTTCCAAACTGCAACATATTCTTTATTAGTCAGCAAAATTTCAAAAAATATTCTTGTCATGTTTTTAAATTCCAAAAATATATGTATTTATATATGTAAACAGCACCATATTGATTAAAATGTTTTTAAAACCTCCTAGGTAAAGAAGAAAAACATTTGAAATACAGTCCCTTGCAGCAGTTACCCTGGAAGTGAAAAAAATAAAAATAAAACTAGGCTACTTATTGTGGATTTCTCTTAAATTATCAAAACTGGTACTTTATGAAAATATTTTTAGGTTACTCTGTAGTTCAGCCAGAGACAACTAAAGAAGTTGTCAAATGCTTGTCTTTTGGTTTTGAACAGTTGAAAGATGATGCAGTTGCCTTGGTTGATGTCTTTGCTCCTTCTGACTTCATTCTCAATTCTCCCATTGGTAAAGCAAGTGGAGAGGTAAGAAAGCCCATTCTAAAATTTGTAAGTTTAATCATGAAGATTATTGCCTGTAATTAGCCTTAACATATTCAAGACATTTCGCAAGTACAAAAGAAAAGAAAGACATTTTTTCAGTGGAAAACACTATCAGAGTTTAATTGACATCAGCTGAAAATGAACTTTTTCATTTACTGGAGATAAGCTTCAGTGGAAAACTTGTATGGTGTTATGGTGTTGCTGTAGTTTGCTGTTGTGGGCATCTGTGCACTGAACCAAAAAAGGGCTGAGAGAAATTTTTGGTGTAGTTACACAAAGCAAGAGTTAAGAGCATAAGAAGGGCCATGCTTGATTCAGTTCACAGAATGCTCTGTGACTGACAGGGATGGATGGCCAAAGAGAACACTGTGAAACAGATGAAACAGCAAGGTGTTCTTTTCCTGATGTCTCAGCTGTTGGCAGTTTAAGAGATGTCTCATGCCATAGGTTCTGTTTGTATCATTCTTTTAGTAACCACAGATGTGTCTATTCTCCATTTTTTTCCATCCACTTTCAAATTCAGCTGTCATTTGGCTTATATCACACAATCATTTCTCCAATTTAATTATAAGAATTGTGAGAAAATACTTCCTAGTCCCAGTCCATATCTATTTATTTTCTGTGGGAGTCTTTTCATTCCTCTGACAGACCTTGTTTTCCTTCTCTGTGTATTTTCTGCTTCTGCCATATCCTTTCTGAAGTGGCATAACCAGACCTACAAGCATGACCCGGGATGTGGGTGCACCATGGGGTTGGCTACAACAGCTCCTGACCCCTCCCTGCCTTTTTCTAACCTATTTCAAGATCTGTATTTTATTCCAAAGTTTCAGCACACCAAAATTCTTGCTTAGTGGGCCAAACCTACACATCAGGGCCAAGCTGTGGGATAACTGTTCTGTAGAGAGCAGTGTCACAGTGCAGTAGTTTGGATTGGTGTGGATGGACACTGCAGACAATCCCTGGAACCTGGGGAGCCTGCCAGGATGTTTGACAGGAATGCTGCATCAGACTCCGTGGTTTTCAGTACTTCCCGTGACTTCTTGTCTGAAGTTGCCCCTTGTTCCCATGGTGATCCAATAATACAGAGGACAGAACAGATGTTGCTATGCTGGCCTAACACAATGATTACTTTGTTTGCACAGTCTTTGCAAATGAGGCAGGAAAGGCTGGCTCTACCTATCCAGACATCTCCTAGAGGACTGTAAATCATCACTGGAAACTTTGTTTCCATTTCTATAGGTATTTGAGGATTAAATTAATGCAAGAGGTCATGAGAGGGAAGCTCCAAAGGTAACTCTGGAACATAGAGAAGGAACAGAGTTTGTTAGAATGTTAAGAGTATCTGTATTGGCCAAAAGCCCATTTAACACATTTTTCGGTCTCTAGCAGAAGCTGTGAGCAAATGCTATAGGCAGAAATATAATATATGGTACAAGTACGCAGTGATCCATTCCTAGAATAGTATCCCCTTTCTAGCAGACACCTGGAGATTTCTTATCAGTAGCTGATAAAGCTGTCACTATGGATTTGGCTGGCTCCTCACTGGGTAGCTCTCTGGCAGAAACCACAGAGATTTATTAATATTAGATACTAATATTAGGAGTATAATATATGAGAAATGCACATAGGAATCTAAACACTTCCTCATATACTTAATTTTTTATAAATTCATTGAATCATTGAGAAAGTAATTTTAATCAGTGCTATTCAACCCATGTCCTGTAGAATTCAGGAAGGTTTTCTGAACTGCCTGTAAGTGTGGTTTTCAACTTGTGTCAATATTTTCAACTGAAATTCAAAAAAGGCTGTCAGTCCCTCACTCAAAGAAAATACTTAATAAAGATCTTTGTCTCCTGACTGTCTACATTTAATCCTCTACTCGTTGCTAGCTTTGCACTTTCTTAGAACCAGTGCAAACATTTTAGTAACAATTACAGTGTTGTAAAGAATAGATTATCCAAGTATAACAAAAAGGTGAATTTAATTCAGGATAAGTTGTGTTGTGCTGCAGGGATGTGCCTTGCACCATAAGCCACAGATCATGGTTGGAGCTGGGGAAAAGTTTCAAATTTTTTTATAGGCAGCTTTAAGTTCTAAAAGAAGAATTCAGATTCTCTTTAAAAGAAACTTTGATGGTGTGGACATAATTTGTCCATAAGAGTTTTGACAATCTATCTGTGAAGGTATTGCCACATTTATTTCAGGATTAATTAAAAATTGTTAGATAACATTTAATCAAAATTAGATTGGAATACGTGGTTGAAATTAACCCATGTAATCAAGGTAAAATATATTTAATATTAAATATATTATATTTCAATATTTATTTAAGTCATCACAGATATTTAGGGCTGCAGCATCTTTTGATGAAGAAAAAGGGTATTTCACTTTACCTCACTGACTGCTTTTATAATACATTAATATATTTGTTGTGCTGTACTCTCTTACTGCTGAAAATATGTTCTTTCCTGATTTTTTTTATAAAGCTATTTAAATTTTATGCTTTTGGTAATTATGAATTGACAAATATTGCTAAAATTATATTTTTGCAAAATTTGCTTCTTTTTAATTCTTCCACAAAAAAATTCCAAATTGGCAAAATGACAAATAAACAATCTGCTCTTGAGAGAAGAATTTCTTATGCTCAAATCAAACAGTTCACACCGGGAGAGAAGTTCTGTTACTTTCCAGAAGTGTGTTCAAGCAAAGATAACAACAGCCATCCATGAGTGCTTTCAGACACAGTCCTCAGGTTTGGACAGAACAAAGATTAGCTTAATATCATCTTGTTTCCAAATTTCTGCCTTTGATAGTAGAACTCCTGTCAAGTTGAAAACGAGAAACAATAAAGGTTAGTCATTTCCTGCTCTTGTGCCAAGGATGGTTTAAGTGATTTACACAGAAATCTGATGTTTACAGTACTTTGAAATTTTGTGCTTATTCTTCTGCTTGTTCTTGCCTGTACATAATCATTCACATTTGTTATCTAGAAATTCAATCAAAATCTCATTTCAGCCAATAAGTTAACTTAATAATTTATCTTGCAGAGGTTTTGTTTCTTCTCTATGCATTAATCCTTTTTTACTATTATTTTGCAGTTATATAAAAATATGTGGGGAGAGATCCTTCAAGGCAACAAAGCTCTGAACAGAGCTTCATGGTGGGCAGAATTTTGCATTAACAAACCTGTTATAGGCAGACTGAGGTCAAGATTGTAAACCAAACAACTTTTAAGACTCTGGATGGGCCTGAGATGGATACCTTGTTACAAACATCAGGAGGAAATCAGACCATATGTCTAACGCTGAAAATGGAAGAGATTTTCATTGAGAGGTGCCAAGTTTTAAAATAACTTTGAAATCAAGCTTGATCTGAGGGACTGTTAACAAAATAATGACAAGAGCAAGAGCAACACGTCTGCACACTATACATATTTACTCAATTAAATTTTTAAAATATGAAGATTTATTATAATCACTGCTTTGCAAAGTTTATATTAAAAAAAAATTCCAATCAGTCTCTTTTCATTGCTTTCATATTACAGAAGGTAAATAATTTAAAAATATTTTTCTCCAGGGATTATGAATAAGATGATAAAAAAAAAAAGAGGGCTGGACAAAACTTGTATTAACTATGATTATAGTGAGAAAAAATTGGGGGAGCATCTTTCCATCTGTTCCCCTATCTTCAGATTGCAGAGAACCAACCTATATTGCCTTTCAGAAAAAAAAATAAAAATGGAAGAGGTAGGGAAAAGCAATAATTTCAATGTTAACAAAGGTATCCATCCCTGGAGGCATGGGATGCCTTCGGGAGTCCTAGCTGCCCCAGTTCTGAGGAACCAAACAGTGAGTAAAGTAGCAATGTGAAAAGATGGCTCTGATTAGTGGCACACCCTGTGTTCTCTTAGCTCACAAGTGTGAAGTTGGAAACAATCACGCTGTTAGCTTTTAGCTGAAAGGAATGTTCTTTTAGTAAAGATAACTTCTTAGCCAGACTGAGAGCAGTCTTAAATGTTAATAATTTTACCACCACAAGTTCAAGGTCAATTAAAAATTATTACCCTCAACACACTTCAGTTAAAAAAAAAAAAAAAAAAAAGTTCTGAAATTCTATGGCTGTTATTTATAGTCCCATTGGAAAAATGGATAAAAGCTATCTTGTTAAACCGTATTTTTTTCCTTAATTTCTTTTTCTTCACCGAACATAGTCAGTGTTGCCTGTGGTTTTTCTGCCTCTATTCTTTCTTCTTTCCTAATGAGGTACCATAACTCAGGATGTCCTAACAGGAGTTCTTTTTCTTGCAGTTGAACTGTGGGAAAGTTTAACCTTCTTTGCTAAAAAAAAAAAAAGCCAACCCAGTATAAAGTATTTATTTTCTTGGAACTGTTTTGCCTATTTTAATAAGGCCCAATAGGTGGCATCATCATATGGGAAAAAATAGATCAATATAGCTGAACACCTACCATTAGATGTTATGGAGTTATGGGGTCTCGTGATTATCTTTAGGAATTTTCCATATCAATAGGGAATCCCAACAAGTGTCTCTGAAGGAAAGAGGCAGAGCTTGTTAAGCCCCGTATCCAGTGTGAATACCAGGGACTCTGGCAGTGAAAAAGGCAAATGGGGAAGAGATGCCATGCTGCATTAAATGTAGGGGCACTGGTCTGTCAGTCCCCATTCTGCACTGTCAGTGCTGATCAGCAGCATTACTTCACTGTCATACACGTGTGTGATTTCATCATCACCTCTGACTCGGTCTTCTCTTGCCTCCTTCCCCACAGCTGGGAAACAGCTGTGTGTAAATCTTGCTTATAAACTGTAAATCTGTTTATGAGGCCTTGGTAGCCCAGAAGAAAACACAAAGGTGTTTGGCATATAGATTAAGCCACCTTCATCCCAATAAAAAAAACACAGCAAAACTGTGTCACAGTAGCACAGACCTGGAGACCTGGTAACCACAAGGAGACTCACCAAACACATGACAGGATAAACAGACACCCTGTAAAAATATATCCCTTAGCCTTAGTTCCTGCTAATCTTATTTATTATGACTATTCCAGCAACAGCCAAACTCCCTGACAAAAGCTGAGCCTTCTCTGCTGATAAGGACGATATAAACTGGCAGAAAAAAGTGCTGTTTGTTTTCAAAAGCTCCTAACTTCAACTAGAGCAAGCACAGCAGAGGCTGCACCAGCAAGGACATGATTATGGACAGGCAAAGTGGGATACTCAGTTAAATAGCACAGTTATGGACGCTAAATATGAAATGTCACACAGTCTGCAGTGAGCTTAGAGCTTGGCACCCTTGGATACCTGGTTGATGGCAGGAGTTACACACCTGAGCACCAAAGCTGAAATAAGTAGAAGAGCTGTGAGGCCTTGGGCATTTACTCTTTAAAAAAATCCTGCATCCCCAGCCACTGGGTGCTGGTGGCTGCTCACCAGGGTTGTTTGCAAGCTCAGTGCAGGTGTTCAGCAGCTGTCAGGCTTTACATGCTGCAGCAAAGACTGCCAGTCTTTCTTCTCACACCCAGTACAAAGCCATGGTGAAGCAAAGGCATGCTCATTCTATGGGCCAGAGCCACTCTGTACTCAACATTATCAAAAGTAGTATTTTCTATATGAATACCTGGATAACTGTGATCAGGTTCCTTAATCAGGTATGAGTATGAAATTCTGACTTGCATTTTTAGCCAGATCGGTGTAATCAAATGAGCAAAATATCCTTTTCCTCTGAAGTAAACAGCCAAAGATTCCAGAGGTCTTCCATGTCCAGCTTCTCAGAGTAGCAGAATTTGTAACTTTGAGCTTACAGAGCTGCAGCATGGAAAGAGAGAGATGTCATGAAATTTGGCATCCGATTATCTACTAAATCATAGGGCAATAATTCAACAACTACCACAAGATGTCATTATTATATGCAGTTTCTTCCTCTTTGTAGAACATGAAATTAAAAAGGCCTCTGGCAGAACAGAGAAGTCATTTCCCTCCCACTTCAAATGCCAAATAAAGTTGGATGTGTCATTTTATCTTGGTTGGGGAGCTGGGTCAAAGTCAGTCAAATAGCTTCGATCCAAAATAATTTAGCCTCAGGAATCTGTTCTTTTAAGCTGCCACGTGAAGGCACCAGAAAGCTGAATCCAAGTAGGCCTGAAAGAGCCCTTACACTGCTTCCCCAGTGCCCTGTGCCCTGCTTCTCTCCTGGAGACTGGCAGTTTTCTGCTTTGTGGCTGTCCAACCACCTACCTGCCCAGGGTATTTCAAACCAGCTATTTCTTCTATGGTAAGATACTTCTGCTGATGTGACTCAAAGCAAAAAGGTTCTAACAGAAAGAATGAAATTGTTCACATGCACTGAATGCACACTCCTCCCTTGCTGGTGTGGCAAGATAAATACATGAATATTTCACATCACCTTTTTAGGAGTGGTAGTTTCAGGAGAAATGTTTTGAGGGGCAGGTGGAAGCACTTTACAGATGCTTTACATCTGCAATTCCATGGATGTGGATTCAGAGGTGCTTGTTTTTTGCAGGAATAAGTGGACTCATATGCTGCTATTTCTGTCAGAAATCCTCCTCCTCACTGTAATAAATGATTTATCACATATTCTGCAGGGATGCAAATTCTTCTGGTGTTTGGCTTTGTTGATATATTTTCTTTACTGACTCAATGTGTTTTCAAATATGAGTGATTTCATACCAGCCCATGCTACCAGCAGGACCAGTCTCTGTTCCAGCCATATGGGCATCACAGAGGTCTGTGTGTCCTCTGGTAGCACCCTACCTTCACAGGCCTCAAGTGTTTTGTTATTCCCAGTTCTCATTACCCTGAGATCAGAGCGAGATCATTTTAACTCGGTTCAGTGGCCTGAGGAGCAGCATAGGCAGAGGGGAGCTGGCTGCATGAGACATCCATGTGATGGTATAATCTGAGCCACACGCTCCAGCCAGAGGGCTCAGCTGCCCACAGCACTGGCACTGACAACAGAAACAGAAGCTTCCTTCTTCTCCAAGCAAGTCAAGTCACAGGTTTATGAAATACAAGCAGAGCATTTCACATCAATTCCTTTCAAGGCAAAGAGAGAGGGAAATGCTGAGAACAGCGGTACTGAGTACTGAGTACCTTGCCTTGGTTTTTTCTCAAATGTTTGCAGCCTACTTGTGTTTGTTCATCATTGCCACAGCATGAATCTCTCTTCAATATATTCAAGTTCCATCAGGAATTTCTTCACTGTATTTGTCAAATAATAGACTAGTAAGTGTGTAGGTAGAAAATTCCCAGTGTATTTCCTGAAGACAATTTGCACATTTTTACATTTTTTGTTTGGTCAGCTTTAGGGTAGAGCATCTGCTGAGATTTGCATCAGTCTCCAAAGACCCAGCATCATTGGGCATTAGCTGCTTTCACCTCCCCATGTTCTTCCATCCTCCTGCCCTTTCCAACTCATTTCACTTGTCATCTTCTCTCTACTCAGGGCTTTGCTAAATACTTACTTTTGTCAACTTTTAAAAATATTCTTTGCTTTTAAGGAGGAATAACATTGAATATTTTATATTACATGTTCTTGGATAGAGAAAATGCTTCAATTCATAATGTCAGATTTTTTTGGAAAGGCAGTTGCCTGCAGCATATTTGCCATGGAGAGATAACCAGGAGTTAGAACTGTGGAAGGACCAACATGGATCTGGAGTTTGTCCCGTGGCTGGGACTGGGATGTGATTCATGCTTTCCTCATGTGATCCATGGGCCAGGATAGGTTCCAGGGCATCCAGAGGGAAGCCACCATACTGCCACTGTATTGTACAGCATATACTGCACTTACCACCTCCTTACCATTCCACAGGGTTTTTTGGGGCAGCCTGTCTGCAAGCAATGGGCAACCACTGTCTGAGAATGAAACCTCTTTTAAGTGTGATTTTGTTTTTTGGTTTTTTTGTAAAATGTAAGACTCAAAACAAGAATCTATAGACAGACATAATTTCCTTTGGCAAAAATATGAGCTTCAATGACAAAATTGTTTATAAAGGGGCAGAAGAAGTATTCAACAAGTGGTTCTGCACTGTGTTTATGTGTTCTTATCACTGGGATGTGATGAATTTTCCAATCCCTCAGTAACCCAGAAAGCTGTTAAGCAACACATGCTATGGTAAGCACTAAAATCAGCAGTGCCATGTAATAAAAGATGGTGAAGACTTGACTGGCCTAAGCATACTCATTTCTCTTATGTTTAACTGTATCAAAGAAATTCCTCCAGAATTTAAAACCAGTTAGAGTTTTCAGTTCCACCAATATTTTAAAAGGAAGAAAAGTGCCAAACTTAATTATATAACAAACAAACTAACAGAAAATCTGAAGGAGGATTAACTTAGTAAAATAATGAGCATGGTGTAATACAAAAAATATCAATCAGAAATTTTATAGAAAATACAGTTTGTCAGACAAACCTGATTTCATTCCAAGTATTCTCAAACTCTGATTTTTCCATATATGTGATGTGCAACATAGACATTTAC